ATATATATATATATATATATATATATATATATATATATATATATATATATATATATATATATATATATATATATATATATATATATATATATATATATATATATATAGTAATGGGGTAAATATTTTTTCTGTCTCATCTTTTGAGAATCAATTAACTCCTAGCAACTTTAGCAATCTAGCTCAAAGTGATTGATTGGAATATTTGACAATATTTGTTTTTGAGTCGCCTACACACATGTTCAACCCGTGGCACATTTTTTTTGGTAACATGATTGCACTAGTCGTCATGGATAATTATGAATTGATATTTTTTTATATATTTTCTGAAATTATTATACATTTTTTTTGTTTCCATAACCAATTTGTTTTTAATTTTTGTATTATTTCAATTTCCTCTTTCCTATGTTTTTTTCTACACTTAAATTCTTATTATATATAGACCACATATTAATTAACAAACAAATCAAGTAATCAATCAAGACAATAATTTCCACATAAACATATAATAAGGACTCAGAGTTACCTCCTGGAGCAGTGACGTCGCGAAGCTGTGGATGCCCTATATTTTTTCTTCAAAAGTTTTCTTTTTTTTGTTCCAAAATTAAATTTTTTTTGCCAAGATTTGTTTTTAAAACCACATGCTCCAATACCAAAATGTAACACCTCAACCCGCGTAACCCGAACCAATGAGTTAGCAAATCGGGTTGTTACTAATTTTGATAATCACATGCATTATATTTAAAACACTTAGAAATACTTCAAAAAAAAACACTTAGAAATAAAGCAAACATTTATATTTATTTAAAACCAATTCATCGTTTAATGAGAATAAATAATTCAAACGTTGCGGAAGCCTTGAAAACAACATTCAGAACAATCTTGATAAGTCGAATAATAAGTAAATATGATATTTAAATAATAGTAAAATTCTTCAGCCATCCATCAGCGTCACAGCTCACTTTTCTCCAAGCTACTCCTCATCCAATTCTTGACCTCTACCTGTAAAAACAGGAGAGTGGAAGTATCTAGCGTTAAAACTAACTCATAGACTAGCACTCATTAATATATAATCAAACAATATCAGAAGAATCCGCAAATATCATTATCCAATTGTACCACTAATTATCCTTTATAATTAAGTTTAGTTCTTACGAATACTTACTCCATCTGCTAGCTAGATATAATCCACTCCAAACTTATGGGAGTAATGGAATCCAAACTCTCGCCCAAACCCACACTCAAATCTTCAAAGTTCTAACAATGGAGGGGGTTGAGGCCCTCGCTGTCCCTCGTCAGGGGTCACTGACCACCCTGCGCATGTTTTTAACTCTCGAGACCACCAGGTGCACGACGTCACCCGCATGACCTTAATTTCTAATCACAATCCTATATATGATTTCCAATATCTAATTAAACTCAGATTCGCCTCGCACTATTAGATGGCATATTTTACAATTTTAGTTAAACCTACCTTTAACACTAACTCACTAATCAATATATATATGGACTAAATTGTGGTTGTTACTTAGGTTTAAGGTCAAAGTATGAAGGAGGGTCAAATTAAAAAGAAGTTAAAGACTTGGGCTAATTTGTAAACAATAAAACTATTTTTTTTGTTTAGTTCCTAAGGAGAAGAACAGATCTGCGCTGCTCCAGCGACGGAACAGAGCAGCAAACCGGCGGCGTGATTACAGCGGAACTGCTGCGGCACCTCCCATTCCCAACAGCGGCAGTTCACCCCAACTAGCAACAATATCGGCAGAACAATAGCAGCTAATCGGCATCCCAGCAGTAGAGAAGTCGTACAGGGCGGAGGGAACCCTTTCGCCGGTGTCCCCAGTTCCGGCGGCCAAACAGAGGAACAGGGCAGGGGCGAAGAGGACACATAGCAGAATAGAACTCCCTACGAAGCAGAGAAGGATACGCGACAGAGCAGAATAAAGAACATAACAGGACAGAACGAAAGAGAGCAGAACAGCCACGAACAGAGACCATTCTCAACAACCCCAAGCAATACACCCAAATCCAATTGAAATCCCAACAACCCTATCTACCAATTCAACATCAATTGCCAGAGAATACATCAACGAATCTTAATCTACGAATTAATTCTAACGAATCGTAATCTACGAATCAATTCTAACTAGAGATAACAACCACTCACCTGGAACTTAATCGGCGAAGAAACCCCAACCAACCGAATTCATTTTTATAATTAATCGGCGAAGAAACCCCAACCAACCGAATTCATTTTTATAAATATAGAGAAACATGGTACTTATAAGCTAAAAATAACTTACAATTATAGAGAAACACTACTTAAGATTCATTTTTCTAAGAACTTATTTGTAAAATGATTTTTTTAATTAACACTAGTATTTCAGATAACTTTTATATCAAACAAATTTACTTTAAAAATACAAAAGTTAAACATTGTCATAAGACAACTTTTTCAAAATACTAAAACTAAGGACCCTTTTGGTAAGATTTGGAGATGCCATAAGATATGAGTTATGCAATATGTGAGAAATGACATGAGTTTTAAAATTTGAAACGGATTTGTTTAAAGAGATTTAAAATAAGAATTTAATTAGTGATAAGTGAGGATGACCGACAACAAGGGTGGTTGGAAGTGACAATGACAGCCAATTGTAAAAAATGATCAACGGTTGAGAGAGATATTAAACTCTCATATTGATATCTATAAAATTCGGGAGATATTGGAATCTTTCGTAGAGGATGCACAATATCTAGAGATATCAAATTCGATATCTCTTTTGGCTTTATCGAACACCAAAAAAGTTCTACTTTGGTCAGTCGAGGAATTGTAGGAGGACAAAAACGCATTCAGATTGGGCCCAAATGATTAATAGACCGCCCAAAGAGCACAACTGCTGTGTATTAGGGTTTCATCATCAATCTCACTCCACCCTATATAAATATCGCGCCGGTGTCAAGCGAAATTGCCAGAACTCCTCCTTTTCTCGTTCTCGGGATCCTGAATTCGCTTTCTTCTCCATTTTTTTTTCTCTCAGTTCCAAAATGTTGGAATCTGGGTTCCGTGGAATTTACATGAATTGGGGTTAGGTAAAATTAGGTATTTGTAATGGCTACATGTACCAAGATTGGGGCTATTTGTGCCCAGGATCTTGACTGCCAAGGTGGCTGTAGCCATATCAACATGAGTTTACTGGCCGGTTGTTTTTGTTGGGGTTTCCTGAACAAGGATCCCAACCGGTGGACATATCTGCTTACCGAACTCTGTACATTATTTGTTCATATAAAATAATCTACCAAATAATGCAGCGACAATGCCTAATTTTATGTAACCCTCTACTCGGTTCAATATTATGAGCCTCTTCTGCAAAAAAAAATGTAAGCTTACTTTTTTTTCTTCTAATTATGCAAATAAGTGATAGAAAGAATATTATCTTTTGTAATTGGATCAACATAAATCTTTTTTGCTCCCATACTTTATTGCTCCCAAAAAGGTAAGATGTTCAGCAACATTTTGTACTCTCTTTGTCTTTCTGTATTTGTTCATTTTCATTTTTACATACTATTCAATGTACTTTTTTAATCTATTTTATTTTATAATTTTTATATTAAAAAATTATAGAAATTATATAGTAATAATTTATATGTTAAGACAAATTAAACAAGATTACATATGACTATATTTAAGATTACATATTGAGAGAATTTGATAAGTCAAATTGCTTAAATGAATAGTTTCAAAAGTTAAATGTGGATAAAAACAGGGGACGAAGGGAGTATGTGTTTTCAAAATTAATTAAGAAATCACCCTACATAGTAATTCATCTAATACTACGCATTTAACACTACTTATTGTTTTTTTACCAAATTAGCTATTTTTGTTGTCAATCTCTTTCAATCGTACCCTTTATGTTGTCAATCCTTTTTATCTATTTTACTATCAATTGTTTTAATTTCTCTTTCAACTCCTATATCATATTCGGAAACACATAATGTATACTTTGTGGATAGTGGCATATATGGTACTCTTTTTTATCAAATTCTTTCTTCAATCAATTAAATGTAGTTTTAAATAAATATATATAATAAAAATACTATATATCAAAATTATATCATAAAAATATGCCAATTATAAATACTTCCTTCATCACTAAATAGGGTTCTTATTCGATTTACGATATTTGATTGAAGTTATTTTCAAATCAATATAAGTAAAAATTGGTGTATAATTAAAAAATAGGGATTATATATTAAAAAAACTACATAAAAAATTCTATAAACAAGTGGTGACAATGGGACTTACATATAAAACTACCAATGTTATAAATTATTATTTGACTTTTATATTGTACAAATAACTTGTGGTTGATTTTATAACAATATGGTTTTACCATGAAAGAGATCGTTATGAAATGTGTTATTCAATATGGTGGCTATAATTATTTTGGCAATACAGATTGATCATGTTCTGCAAACATTTTCTGGTAGTGAATTTGTCTTTTATATATAATGTGGCAGACAAGAGTGAAAATATGTCAGTGTATAAAAGTTCGCGGCCTAAACAAATTTATATGTACTTCATTAGCTTCCATTGATAATATGGTAGTGAAATTAGACATACATATAAAACTGCCAATGTTATGAATTACGAATTGAGTTTCATATTGTGCAAAAGTCATGTACTCCGTTCTACGACTATTGGGTTTGAACATTCAAGAGTTCGTTATGGAAACGTGTTACTGAATAGAGGTTGATATTTTTTGACAATGTGGAATAATCAACTTTTAGCTACACTTTTGGAAATGTCCAATGACCATGTTTGCCTAGTGTGTTTTGGTCAAATGGGATTTATATCTAAAATCCCAATGTAATAAATTATTCATTGAATTCTATTGGAAGCGGATATAAAAAAATCACCAAAATGACTAGTGCTTGAATAACTTTAATAAACAAAGTATGAAGTGTAAGCTCAAAGATTTTTGGCAGTGTGGAATGCTTGTGATCTAGGTATATTTTTTGACAGTGTGTTATGTCCAATGTTTTGGCCAGTGTGCTATGTTGCACAATTCTACATAATGTTGCAGTGTATGCTGCTTACAAAGTCTTAAAATTTACAACATAATACCTTTCATTATCCATTTCTTTTTAGTACCACATAAATAAAGTTGAACATATGTCTAATACTATCTTCTAACATTATACAAAATCAAAAACGACCAAAAAAAAGCCAAGCCCATGTGTTGGTTTGTTTTGGTGTAATAGATTATTCATGAAATCAGTCATACATTTTTGGGCAGTGTGGAATTCATAAATGAAAAAACAGTCATATACATTTTTGGTAGTATGGAATTCATACATGAAAATAGTGTGGAATTCATACATAAAAAGAGCTATACATTTTTTGGGCAGTGTGGAATTCATACATGAAAATAGTAATACACTTTTTGATAGTGTATAATTTATACATGAAATCACTGCCACATAAATCAATGGACATTACACTACAACATGAAATTAAGGAACAGAATAATACATTTACACACTGTCGTAAGATATAACAACATATATCCATTCTACACTGACACATTAAATACTCACATATAAAAAACTACACTTCCCACAACACAATTACGAGTGAACAACCACACTGCCCAAAACAATCATATTTTTTTGGCAGTGCATAATGAGCATTTGCTATTTAATTAAAGGTCAAAATCGGAATCACATGTACAAAACATATAGCACTGCTATTTAGAGTATTTTAGTGCTCTAAGAGTGCTATTTTGGTTTTTCTCCCAAATTAATTTACTTTATTACAATTTTATCTAAAATGTTAATGCAAGTAAAAAATGTTGTTAATAAAAAGTGTAAATCCCAAACAAGGCCAAAGGGACTTTGCACACAAAAGGACGAAGTGAAGATTTATGATGCTCCAACTGAAGACTATAGTAATCTACTAGGAGTGTTTTTAATCACCTATTTACATATTTAGCAAAAAAAAACAAAGATTAGCCTACAAATTTTGAAGACAATCTACCTATATACAAAGGCAGCAGGAAAAAGTTCCCGCTCAAAGATTTTGACGGTTGCTGCAATTTTTTGCCGGTTAGCTTCTTGAAAACCGTAGGTGGAAAACCTCCCCTTATATCAAGCACTGCACATCACTTAATTCACGCTGCAACTGGCCGGGATTCATGATCAGGTTAGATTTCGAAACCCTAGCCCCAGTGAACTTTAGCATGTATTTCATCAATTTTCTTGGTAATGCTTCAGTTTCTTCTGCTCACGAGTGACTACGAAGATATAAATGATGATGGAGATATTGTCAATTGTTTTTCTGGTCGAATACAAAGAGTCATGCCACTGTATGATTTCATCTCAATTTTCGGTGGTTAATTGTCAATCGCCGCCAATGAGCATTTTATCCGGAAGAATGGATCCGTGGTGGTGATTCCGGAAGAATGGAGTTAATCGATCGGAACATTACACCGGAGAAGATGGAGACTTTGTTGCAGGAGTACGTACTGTTCATCGTCTTCCTCGACTTTGACCTAACGGGTACAGTACATCCTAATTTCATCAATTTCTTGATATATTCTTTTCATAAGGTTTCAATCCATCTATACCCTTATATATCTCTATATCAATTTCATGTTAATTTCATCAATTTTGTAGCTTGATCTCAAAATAATAAGCATAAGGTTTGTTTAGATCCATTTCTTGAAGTATACATTAATCAACCCATTTATGGTGTCTTAGGTCTATCTTGATATTTAATCACAAAGAATATTGTTTTTTAAAATTAGCATATTATTAAATGAAATCAAATATTCAACATCCGTAGGTTGAAAAAATGCATAGAAAAAGCAATAAAAAAAAGACCATTTTCCAATTTGTGGACATTATACTTGCACAGGGCATACTAATCTTCATTGTCTTATGCTATAATTTTGTGATATACCAGAGGTCTAGAGAGATGTCTCCATTTTGTTTTTCTTTTCTAGATCTTATGCAAACAACATCCACATGCAGGAGTAGGTTCATAATATCATTCCAACTGTCCTTGGTGCTTTGGATGGTTCTGTGTTTGAATCCATCCCAGACCCTATCACTAAAGTATGCACTCTAGGTCTTCAACAAAATTCCTCAAAGGGAATTTCTAAATTTCTAATTCTAGAGCATGAACAACTATTTAATTTTTAATTCTTGCAGGTGATTCATCAAATACCAGGCCCCTTCCCAGCACCATGAGTCTTATTCTAACATCAGTGTTTTTTATGAAGCTTTCTTCAAACTCTAAATTTCAAAGCTTATGGATTTCGGTGTGCTTCCTATGGGTTTTCAGGTGTCCAGTGCTTCAATTGAGGATGCCCTAAGAGGTCAGACGTGCATTCATGTTCTCATCGATCACTGGTAAGACAGTACAACTACGGTCACTATCTACCGTGTGTATGCATCTTTAACTTTTTCTTCTTCTTCTTATTACCGAAGTAATTTTCTAGGGATCAGATTCATGAATACTTTGTGGAGTAATATTTTCTACAGTTTATGCAGGTTTTTTTTGTTGGATGAAGATTTTGATCCAAGCTGCACCATAAATATAAATGGTAACAATCACTGAACCCTAGATTTGTAGTTTTGTTTAGGAACTTATGTTTTAAACTTGAAATATGACATTACTTGCTAGATAGGTGTTCTTCGTGTTCAATTTTTCAAATTTGCATCTTCTTGGTGTACTGTGTCTACAATTTATTTCTTCTTTATGTATTTTGTCTACAATTTGTGCGTGCCAAGCTAATCATCTTTCCTATTATATTGGTTGTCACCAAACAGAAGCGCTGTGTCTACATTTGTTTTATCTATCCATTATGTAATGCATGGTTTTTTATTGGATAAATTAAAACAAGAATGCTTCTTTAAATTGTCATTTACCTTTGCTTGAAACCCTGATGATTGTCCATGAGGAAAACACAGTCCAATTCCCTTCAGTTTAACTAGAAGTTACAATTAATAGTATTTGAAAAACTCTAAGTTACATCCAAGAGATAGAGCGCGGACAAGAGTCATTATTGACACGAGGACTAGGGTTCTAAATCCTAGCCACCGACTTTGTAATCTGATGGTGCAGCATTGGTGTAGAACCTAGCAGAGGCAATGGCAGGGCCGAGATAGAGTTTCGAGCCTAGCCTCGCCCATGGAGGACACCAGGCCAGTGCAACACAGAGAAGACACATTCAAAGAAGAGGTAATAACATCTTTTCAAATGTCGAAATAAGTGAACGTTGCTCAAACCACTGCGTCTTAAGATCGAATCAACCAAGGTAATTAACCACGTGCGGATTTATAGGAAAATGTTTATCCATAGGGATGAGAAGGTAGGTAATTTCACTTCCCTATTTTTCCCATCAAATTTAATTCAAAAATATTGATAGAGTTTGGCATGGTCTCAAACCCTTACCTCCTCATTTGTAATCTGACATTAGCAAACAATACAAGTGATGGAGGCAGAATCAGAGAGGTGCATGCTTAGCAAGAACTCCATAAAAACATAAACTAGCCAAAAAATAGCTTTGGATAGTTAATATGGAGTATATTTTTTTTAACTTCATTCTGTCTTTTTGTTTTTTGTTTTTTAGGTTTGTCAATGATGTCGTTGTTGGAAGTATTATCATCATATGCTAAATGTCACTTTTTGGGTTATATCTCCCTATTTACAACAACAGGGAAAAAGAAAAATTTCCTGCTAAATGGTATGAACTTTGAATTCTGCCCCCAAGCTTTGACTGATGAGCTCATACGCTGCACTATGGATTTATAAATTTATCTAATCATTGCTATTAAGATACAAAAAATAAATTCTTAGTACATGAAGATTCTTATGTTTTATATGGAATTAATCAAGAACAACTTTATTTTCCTCATCAACCAAAAGCCTATTTGTTCCTATCTTCCAAAATTCCCAAGTTGAAACCCAAAATGCAGTAGAAATACATGGAAAAGTTAGGAATAAATAAGACAATTTTTTCAATTAATGCGTGTTATCCTTGCGTAGGGGCTATGCTAATCTTTTTTGTATCATTCAAATCACAAATAATAAATTAGGGTTAAAATTTTGATATACTTTCTTATTTTCAAGTTCTTTCAGGCTTGAGGGAGAGGCAAACATTAGAGAAGAAGCTCATGGACAAAGGACGATAAGGCTTCAAAGGCAAAATCAAAGGTTACTGCCAAACAAAGGCATGTAATCATTGAGAAATAGAATCTAATGAGAACAGATTAAAGAAGATACATGAGAAAAAATTCTATACCTACAAACAAGTAAAAGCAACATAGTAAGTCTCCCCATACTTATTTCTCTTATTTGGGTTTTCTATCATAGTGTATATCAAACTGACTTTGACTTTTAATTTAAATATTTATGTGAGGCTTATAAGATATTTGTTAAATAAGCTTTAATGATACTGTGATAGAGCAGCTGTATGTCATAAAGTGAATGAAATTGTCCAGCATTGTCAAGAAGATTCTACCAAGTTTAGGAATTACCCTTCAATATAGAACCTTGCCAAATGTTTTAACTAAATCTAAAACCCTAACTAAATCTGAAACCCTTATCATTTGTTTGATTCACGAGTAGTAGCAGGTTCATTAAGCCAATGGTTGTGGACCCAACATCAAAGGATATCATATAAAGATATGAACTTTAAATTAATAAATTCTATCCCACACTTGCTTTGACTGATGAGCTCAAAAGTTCCAGTGATGGAATGATTCAAATGTTCCAATCATCTTAATGGAATATGAGTTTTGGCATTTCTTTTGGAGGAGAGATAACACTAGGAGGGATTTGTTCTTTGCTACTAAAGATTGATAACAACTCTACAAGTATACTTGATTCAAGCGGTTCGGAAACTACTTTTAGTCCTTTTGAACTTTATTTTTGGGTGTCCTAAGCCTTAAAAAATTTATACTCCATGGATATTTACTCTGAGTTTTATTGTATGCTTAATTTTGTATGGTATTGGATTGATGCATGCATGTATCATGCAGATTTTACTTTTATTGTACTTGCAAATGTCTAGAGGTGTATTGATAGATTACTAAATGCCCTTGAGGACATGCTCTACCATGTTGTAACTTTTTTGTTATGAAGAAAATATATATTCTAATACTACAAACAGATAAAGTATAATGTAACTTAGTCAATACTCCGTAACATTTAAAAAGTACATATTCTAATGCTACTACATATAATCATACTATTTTCTATAGGGGTGGTTTTTTAAATGTTTTTATAAACACAAATTTTATATTATGCAAATGTGCTAGAAAAATTCTAATTTTCATTTTATGTTTTAATACTCTGTAAATTTCTAAAGTCAAAAATGGAGAAAGTATGTATCATGTTGAGCTTATATATTCCATATTTCCTTCTATATTTAAGTTTGTATACACACATTTTATTCTATAAAATTTTTATAACTTGGACTTTGATATAAATTACTTACCGTGCATTGCACGGGTAAAATCTAGTAACCTCAACGGGAGTAATATTGAAAGAAGGCACTACCATGAGACACAAAAGTGATAGGAATAAACTTTTGAAAATATATTAAAATAAGAGTTTTATGTTTTTATTTTTTTACAAAATGAGAGTTAAAATATATTTATATTACGCAAAATATATATGTATAGTTTCATATTAATACATTACAAATTTTTATTTAGGAAATAAAAATATTAAATATCTTTTTTAATACTTTCACTATATTTTATACCTATTTGAAGTGATTTCTTTAGTGATAAAAATAACTTCATGGAAGTTACAAAAATGGGTGGAAGTGACGGAAGTTTTGATTAATATATTTTGTCCAATTTGTTTTAAATGTTTTTAATTTTTATTAAAATATGATTGCACGTAATTTCTATTTCAATTTCAATTTCACATTGTTAATTCAAAAGTATTAACTTTAATATTTACAACATATAAGATTGAAAATTTATTTTACTTGATTACTTCATTTTTTTTCTTTTACTTTTTTAAAAGTATTGAATTGTTAAAAATTAAAATACAACATTAAGACATTAAATTATAAAACCAAAATTGGGGATTGGACCCAGATCATGCTGTCGATGTCGGTTACGATTCTTCTCCCTTCGGTACCTGGAGCTGACGGTTACAGAACCGGAGTCGAACTGAACAAGTACCATGTCCTTCCTAAGGTTGGAGAGGAAAAGAAAATAAAAATACAAGGAAAAGAAAATGCAAATATAAAAGTTTACAAAGATGAAGCAAATAAAATTCCTCCTATTCTGAAGAAAAAAATAAAAGGAAATCATCTTCTTTATTTTCTCCCATAATATTTGAACCTAAGATGGTGTAAATCTTTTACGGAGTATTTGTTTGAGTAGGTAAATGTGATTAGTCCAGCGGCAGCCATAGTACATGTTCTCCGATCTAAAAATTTGAAGCATTGAAGTTTATTTTATACTCCGTATTTGGGTTGTCCCACAAAATCCTTTTTTCTCTTTTACTCTGAGTAATTCTTAACTTACATCTCACATTACATCTATTCATTATTAATATACTTATTAAATCTTACTTTTTTTACTCATTACCATTCAAGAACATTTTTGAAAATTCAATACTAAAATACATCCCTTCAAATTTCTTAAAAATTAAAAGCTCTCGTGTTTTCTGGACGGAGGGAGTATTATCGTATCCATCCATAAAAAATGAAAGATGTATTGAATAAATGTAATAATCTTGCTGTTCAATGTAATTTGTGAACAAAAGTGAATATGATTAACAAAAAAGTAGAGCATATACATGCAACAAGATCTGGCTGATTACAACAAAGTTAGTTTTTTTTAAAGGTTAGTACAAGTTCTTAAAAGTGGTTTAGAGTCTATATTAGATTCTGTTGGTTTGTTGAGTGGTAGCGTGTTGATAAATACTCCTTTATTTGTAAAGTTGGCATTCAAATGACGAGTTCTATCCTGAGGAGTGAGGACCCCTTAGACCAGATTAGACGGTTACTGAGTGGAAGTAAATTGGATTTTAATCGTAGATTAGTGGTAAAGAGTGAAGCCTGTACTAGGCATTAACAGAGGTCTTATGCTTAACATAAGTTGTCCGAAATCAAACTCGGGTCTTACCCCCTTGCCACTTTTTGTCTTTGCCAACTCTAAATGTCGCCGACAATAGAGTCGGCATTCAAGAAATGAAATAACCTTTCCTATCCCTCTATGTTCTATTTTATGTCTTGCTATGTATAGTTCATTCCTCCATTAGTGAGTTCATAGTATTTTCCAAGCTCTCCCTCACTCTTCCAATATTGAGTAGCTTCCTAAAACTTTAACATTGGCATCAAACTTATTTCTTGGAATTAATTCCTAGGTAGTGATGCTTTTGAAAAACCATTCCCTGCATTTGAATACTAGCGGTACTACTTTAACCGTTAGGAGTTTTAAATGGTACCAAGGGTACTTTTTATACCATTAGGGTTAAAACATTTAAATTTTGATTTATTAATCCTAAACCTTGTTCTCCTCGCACCTAACAAAATAAATCATGCACTTAAGACCTAACTCTACTTTTACGTAACACAATAAATCATGCATTTTACTCTCCCAAAATATAATAGCGGTAAAATCTTACACCAAACTCTACTCCCACCTAATACAATAAATTTTTGCACCAACACACCTCCAACTTACAAAAAAAATAACTTATTTTACTCTCATCTAACACAACTCCCATATAATAGGGGTAAAATCTCACACCAAACTCTAGCCCCACCTAATACAATAAGTCTTGCACCAACACACCTCCAACCTACAAAAAAATGAACAACTTATTTTACTCTCATCTAACACAACTCCTATCTAACACAACTCTCTCCAAACACAATTCCCACCTAAGACAACTCCCACATAATACAATAACCTCATCCCCAATTCCTACTATATATTTGGAGCATATGTCTCACAATCTCACTACACACCTAAAATCTTCTTAAAATATACTCACACACCAACTTATAAATCTTTTTCACATTGCAAATAAATGGACCATGGTGATAACTTTATCCTTTGGCCCATTGGAATGGCAAGTTCAAAAATGTGGGCAATGAGATGGGGTACTCATTGCATGCAAACAATGAGGTGAAGTACTCATTAAATACATACTCTGAAAGTGTTATGCCACTACCAATAACATGAAATGACATAATCTTGGTTACGAATTAGTGCGACCTAATACAAAGCAGATGTCACAAGTTAGTCGTCGAGTAAGCACTCGTTTCATCAGTAAACTTCTATTTGTAATTGGTATTTTTGTACCTGCTTTCTTAATTTTGTACTTTATTGGGCAATTGCGTGTCACACGCTTTCTTAATAGTATTCTATAGTGATAAAAAAATTAATGTTGTTGGATTTAAATTTCACTTATCTCTTTATTTCTCAACGTGTCAGAATAGAGTTTCACTCTCTGGGAATTGATTTCCCATTTCCTCACTGATTCGGAAATCCCCTGATCTTGGTATTGATCATTTTTTTGTCAGATCTTTGTTCATGATCTAGAATTTTTCTGTGGCGTTGGCCATAGAAACTAAGAAAAAATAATAATGGGGTGTGTATTTAAAAAACCTTAGACTTGTGAGAATCTCTTAGATCTAAAGAGGTTTTGTTGTAGTAAGAAATTTGAGAAGTGGGGTGCCCGCCATTGGCGGATCTACTTAGAACCAATTGGGGGCCAATGCCCCCTACTAAATTTTGGTGTTAAATTATTTTATTTTTTTGAAAAAAAATTTCTATACTTTGAAATGCATGCCCTCATCTAAATTGGAGTTGATCCCATCTAAAATTATGCACCCCAACACAAATTAATAGAATCTTATGTAATTAAGCTAGTTATTAATTTTTTGTTTAATTTTATTAAAGTGTATTTTATTAAATATAATTTATTTTCTATAATGAGATTTATATTACATACTAAACAATAATTTACATTCAATAATTATTTAAAATAGAATTATTTTTTTGTTATTTCATATTGTCTATTTAAAAAATCAGGGGCGCTACCCCGAGATCCTTGACTAATTATGCTCCCATCTACCCAAATTCTTAGATCCGCCACTGGCGCCCGTGGATGTACAATGGGAACATAGCGAAGCCTAGAGGTGGCAATCGGATCAACCGGATCGGTTTCGAGTTGGATTTTTTCGGTTCGGATATCTTTCGGTTATATGTTATAATCGGTTCGGTTCGGTTCGGTTTCGAGTCGGTTTAGATACGGTTTGGTTATAAATCGGTTCGGATAGATTTCAGTTCGGATATAATTTGAGTCGGATATATTTCGGTTTTGGGTGTAGTTCGGTTCGGATATATATTTCGGTTTCAGATCAAATATATTCTGGATATATATATTATTTTCTAATTAAAATTTAACTATCCGTGTTTCTTTTTATGTTTTATCACATTTATCAATCTATCATCAATTCAATATCTCATATTATTTTATATTTTTTTCTAGTTATATTATCTCTACCCTAAATAATCTTTCCCTTTTTGACTTTTTAGTCATATTTTACAAATTTGGACTACAAATTATGAAAACATATATATTTAATTATGATATAAATTCAATATAATTAAATTGATTTTAAAATTTAGTTTTGAAATATCAAATCTTTCTCACGTCTACTAATATACTTATGTATATAAATGAAAGGATAAAGGAAAAATTCAAATAGTCTTATGTTCCATTTGAATACAATTTGGTAAAAATTGAGTAAAATTGGGTGAAATTAAGTGAATTTTATTCAATTGAGTGCAAAATTTGTAAATTGTTGAGTATATTTGGTTGAAAATAGAGAAAATTAAATTTAATAGAGTCAAATATAATTAATTTTGCACCTAAATGTAATGGTGTAGATCAAATTTGAAAATGATAACAGTAAAGGCTACCGCTAGATAGTCTTTTCCAAATGCTAACACTAGCATCTAATTTTATTGACTAATATTGAGTGAATTGGTTTGAAACTAATCAAATTAACTCTCAAATCAATAAAATTTATTGTAATGAGATGAAATTAGGATAAAATCTAGTTATTCCATACAATTCATCATATATTCCTTTCGTCCCAAAAAGAATATCACACTTCACTATTTAAAAATTACAGAAATTTTATTTGTTTGTGCGTTATCATTTATATGTATAACTTATCTTTAATTTCTACATATAATAAATTTAATGCATAAAATTTTGTACTTTTTTTCAAGAAGATAATCCATTTTATGAGGGAATGAGCAAGTAATGTAATTAGTTCAAATGGTAAAATAAAATTAAAAATTTAAAATTATAATATGCTTATTGAAAGGCAAACATAGTTTTGAATTTATCGATTTAAGTTCTAATCGGGTACGGATATTATCGGTTTCGGATTGTATAGGTTTCAGGTATTATCGGGTTCGGACCTAATCGGTGTTGGGTTTAATTGGTTCGAATATTATCGATTTCGGATCTAATCGGTTTCAGATTTAAATCGGATATGAATTATTTAGTTCGGTTTTGGTTCGATTCGGATCATTTCGGGTTTCGGATATAGATCATATCTTCATTTTTTGGGTCATTCCGGTTTCGGTTTCGAATATTTCGGTTCGGGTAATCGGTTCCGGTTCTGTTTTGCCAGGTCTATATAAATCTCACCTCTCATCTCCAATGGAGATGCTAAAAAATTGGGATGCTATAATTCAAAATAGATGATGAATAGTAGAAATGCTCCTGCCATGAAGTGCTATATTCAATATTTGCTATTTTTTTGTCTCAAACGCAGAGATAATAAATAGGAGTTACTGTAGCACCGTGTATATTTACATTATGCAGAGTTTATAATAGAAGATAGGCTTTAATTAAGCTGTTGGGTTGGAGGTCAAAATCAATTAACAGTACCAGCTATAATTCCTATTTTTTGTTTTTAGCTAACACATTGGAGATGCTCTAAGGGGGGAATCTGAAAATTAATCAATACACAGCATATTGTAAGATCATATTTTTTATTTGATCTTGAAATTCATCGATAGTCTAATTGGAGGGACCGGCCTAAAGTAGACTACTTGGTCCAAAAAGTTCCATTTTTTATCAAATCAGACTAGTTTACAAAAATGACAATATTTATGTCGTTCTAAGAAGATGGGATATCCTAGCAATCTCGGGTACCTATAGCATATACCCAAAAATGAGTAACTAGGTACTCGGGAGTGAATATTCAGATATTCGAAAACTAGTATTCAGTTATTCATAAATGAGTATTTATCGGGGATGTACGAAAAAAAGTGTACAACCGGTTGTATAGTATATTGGGAGCAATCCCCTTCTTGTGCTCTTTCGTACAATAATACTTTGTAATTGAACACTTTATTACTTGGGAGAATTCCATGTATTAGAGTAAAAAAATATAAAACACCAAGATAGGAGTTTTAACTCTTTTAGGACTAAAGTGGGATTTCACACTATCATTATTTCACTATGATGGTTGACTTCAAGCGGAAGACAACTTTCATAATAAGGTAAGTTTTCTTCGAGTGTCGTGTCTCTCGTGAAGTGGGCGAAGAGATTTAGCTATTTTTTTTAATTAGGCAAAGGTTTGGACGAATCTGGAAGTCTTCTAGATTCAAATCAAAAAGAAAAACTATATTAGTGAACACTTTTGAATGAAAATAAAATAGTACATGTATATGACTAGACTTTGGGTCAAGACATCATTTATGTTAATTACTATTGTCACATATTTAATCAATAATTGAAATAATAATATTTCTATCACAAATATTTCATTAACTTATTCTCTCTCAATGTATATTAGTGTGTTCTAAAAAGTTTGGCTTAATTAATTTTATATCCTCAAAGACAAGGCAAAAACTAATTTTCAATGATTAGTTAATTTTTTTTCTCGACATAATTAATTAATTTAACAATAAAAATAATTTTAGAACAATTATTTCAACTATTACATAAACAGAGAGGGTGTATACCCAAATTTAGCCCACATCCTGAACATACAGATTTATGACTCATATTTTGGTCTTTTCATATCTTTTTATTCTTGTCTATGGAGTTCTCCCTAGTTTTTACCTTATAAGCTCTATCTTGAAGTATTTTCTATAAAGTTACTTAAATGATTGATAAATTATGTTGGGATACTTTTTAAATATGAATTTAATGAAATAAATTGAATATATATATATATATATATATATATATATATATTGTGTGTGTGTGTGTATGTATGTATGTATGTTTGTGTGTGTGTGTATATGTATATAGTAAATTCCCAAAATAGTCCTTTGTAACAAGATATTTTTTCAAATCACTTATCATCAAGTTTTAATTACGTACGTGGTCTTCTATAATTGAGATTTATTTCCAAGATAGTCCTTTGTAAATAATGTTAGTCAAATGATGATTAATTGAGGGTATTTTGGTATTCTTTATCTGCTAAATTTAGAAGTAACTTTTAAAATGATCATTTATAATGAAATGCTTTCAAAAAATGGTTTTTTTCTAATTAAATATGTGTATTTGATTTGAAATTTAAAAGAATTTTTATACGTTCTAAATAATTAATGAATTATTTTTAGTCAATGTATTTTTTAAATTTCACATTTAGTTGTACAGAAATGACCGTTTCGAGAACATACTTTAAATTTGGATGATAAAAATAGTAAAATATCTCCTAATTAATCATTATTTGAGTAACATTATTTACGAAGGACTATCTTGGGAATAAATCTCAATTATAGAGGATCACGTAGTTAATTAAAAAACTTATTGAGGACTGAATTCGGAAAGCACCTTATTACAAAGGACTATTTTGAAAATTTACTATATATATATCAGTATTAATGGTTAAAGTTTTACATTAAAGACAATGAAAGATCAATGAGAAATCGTATGAAATTAAAAATTAAAAGTTATATATTTAAAAACTACATGAAAAGATCTACAAATTAGAAGTGATATGACTATATTATTTTATGAAATGAGCAACGAAAATATGCCAACAAATTAAATAAAATTTGACTATGTGAATAATGAACAAGAACATTATTATTGGACGGAGCGTGTAAATAATTTTGACTAAAATTATTTTAAAAATAACAGTTAAAGCAAGAGGGATGGATGGGGCCCATAGGTTATTGGAAAAGCCATTTCATTCGTCCACAAGTTCGTACGGATGACAGTGGGGATGCACGATTGTCTTTGATGGGGCGCCGTAGTAGAGTGAAAATTCACCCCCAAAAGTCGGTGGAAAGGGGAAGGGAATATGGATATTCCGAGGCTTCTTCTTCTCTCTGCTTCGCTGGTCGCTCTTCTCTCCATAGCCTCAATCCCCCTTCTCAATCTCAATGGCCACTTCGCCAGAGTGTTGAATCGGAGATCGTCGGCGCAGGATGCGGACTTGGTGGTCCGGAACGCCACCATTTACACCGCCGACGAATCGCTCCCCTTCGCGGACTCCATGGCCATCCGCGGCGGCCGGATCCTCCGTGTCGGCACCTATTCCTCAATCCAGGTTGGGCCGGAGTGCAGTCACTGTATACTAAACTATACTCCCTTCTCTTTTGTCTTCCTACTCTTTTACTAAACAAATAAGCTTCATTTCTTCTCTCTAAAACAATAGTTTAATTAGATTTAGAGTAAATTACCAAAATGATCTTGTAATGAGGTGAGGTGTTTTTCCAATTTAGTCATCAATAAATTTTAATTACCTATATGGTCCTCTATAATTGAGATTTATTTTCAAGATAGTCCTTCGTAAATAATGTTACTCAAATGATGATAAATAATTGAAAAAATCTTATAAAAATGTAAAATTGAAAAAATAATTGACTATAAATAATTCATGATATATTTAAAACTTATAAAAATCTTTTAAATTTCAAATTAAATACACATATTTAATTAGAAAAAATCATTCTGAAAAAGTACTTCATTATAAATGATCATTTTAAGAATTAATTTTAAATTTAGCGGATAAAAAATACCAAAATACCCTCAATTAATCCTCATTTGAGTAACATTATTTACAAAGGACCATCTTGGAAATAAATCTCAATTATAGAGGACCACGTAGGTAATTAAAACTTATTGATGACTGATTTGGAAAAACACTTTATTACAAAGGACTATTTTAGGAATTTACTCTTAGATTTATCTTATAAAATATTTTTAAAATATATTTTTAACTAATTAATATACCATATAATTTTTATTCTATTATGGGTCAAAGGTCGATCTTGATTGAAGAGTGAGAATTGGCCAAATATGCGTGACGGAGGGAGTATATAGTTTTAGAAAAGATTATTTTGACTTTAATAGAGTTTAAAAACAGCTGAAAAATTTAAAAAGTATGGTTAGAATGAGTTAAGATGAGAGAAATTTTATTAACTACAAATTCTTTAGTACTTCAAGATGAAAGGGAAGTTTTTTTTTTGGTATTGAGGAAAAAAATTCTTTAGTACTTTAAGGAGAAAGGGAAGATTTTTTGGTATAGACGAAAAGAATGGGAGGTTTTTTGGGATAGACGAAAAGAAAAGAAAGTTTTTTGGGATAGACAAGAAAAAGTGAAAAAATATTTATTAGATGATGGAGTAGCATGTAGGGAGGACTGGGACCAGACCGGATAAGGTAAGTCGGACCCGAACTGGATCGAATAAAAGTAAATTTTTATTTTTTAAAATAAATTATATTTATTTAATTTAAAGCACTCAATTGTACAAATGTATTTCAACTATTATTTTTTAATGTGTAACATTTACTAAACATTACCGAACAGGCAAACACCATCATTTTTAGTTTTTTAACATATTTTAAATAAAATATATCCTCCATCTGTCTTATAGAAAACTTGTTTGCAATTTTTTTTAATTGTTTTTGTTTTTGAGTTTTTTTTACAATGTTCATTTTGTTGATTATACTTTCGTTACTGATAAAGTACAAACTTAAATTATAGTATTGGCACATAAATTAGAATTGCCAATATAAAAGTGTTGTTTACTTTTTTCACAATTTTCATATAACAAATCTTTAGACATCCTTAGAATTTGTATCTTATTTTCAATTGGACTATTTTAAAGAAATTATGTTGAAAAATAAAAACATAACATTTGAAACTTTTAGTCTTAAAGTTAAAGTAACATTATGAGTATAAGCAAACACTTTAAAATCTATATTACAAACTTATATTGAAAAATACGGCGGAGATCTTTTGACCTTGGAACCCTGAGTCACATTATGACCCGGGCCCCTACGGTGCTCCGTCCGTAAAATAGATGGTTCCTACCCCCTAATCCCCTCCTAAACCCTACTACCCTATCCCCTACCTACCCACCCCACCCCAGCACCCCCCTGCCCCCCTCCCCCATTTGCCGGTTGGCTACAGTTATGGGGGAGGGGGGCTGGGGGTGCTGGGGTGAGGTGGGAAGGTATGGGGAAGGGGATATGGTTTGGGAGGGGGGGGTTAGGGGGTAGGAAACATCAATTTTTCGAACAAAGCACCGTAGGGGCCTCAAGTCATAATATGACCCGAGAACCTAAGGTCAAAAGAACCGTTTCGTAAAAAATATTTTTAAAAAATCTAACCGGTCCGAACCGAAGTTTGGTGGACCAGACTACCCGGTGGACCGGACCGAACAAAAGAATGAATAAGGGAAAGTTGAGGACCGAAGACCGGACCGGGCCGGTTTTGACCAGGTTTTGGGTCGGTCCGAGTCTGGACTAGATAATGCTCACCCTAGTAGCATGCTAGTTTGAAAAAAGGTAAAATATGTTAAAAATTGGTGAACAGTGTAAAACACAAGTAAAGTAGCCAAGTAGGTAGGTTAAGTTAAGTGGGTAAATTCTTTTCGTACTACTGGGTTTGTCCAATTTGACTTTTTGCTGTTGTACGGATTTTGATGATCAATTACATAAATATTGGAGTATTACATTCTATATTAAAAAAATATTTTTTTTTGAAAATATTTTAACAGATATATATCAAATTAAATCATTGTTGTACCAATATCTAATGCTCCCTCCATCCCAAAACCCCAAATATTTTTAATTTGTTTGAAAATTGATATGTAAATAAAAAATAAAACCTAAATATTTAAATATCGCGTCAAAAGTTCTACAAAACAAGAGGGGACAAGAATATTTTTATTTCATCAAATAATCAATGAGAAAATAGACAAGTAAACACAAGTTATCATGATGCTGGAATAGTAAAGTGTGCAATTCATTTAAAGTCGGATGGAATATAATTTTTATTTGATTGATCATCAAAGTTTGTCTAGTTTGACATTAAAAAGTTAAACCGGACAAACACACTCAGACGAAGGTGGTAGTATGTTAGAATAGATGGAATAGTAAACTATGATTTTATAAATAAAAAGAAGTCATGTATGATACTAAATGGGGTGTTGGGTTGAGGGCAAAAAAAGTCATTTTGATACTCCGTATTATTTATGTGCCAAGTANGGAATAGTAAAGTGTGCAATTCATTTAAAGACGGATGGAATATAATTTTTATTTGATTGATCATCAAAGTTTGTCTAGTTTGACATTAAAAAGTTAAACCGGACAAACACACTCAGACGAAGGTGGTAGTATGTTAGAATAGATGGAATAGTAAACTATGATTTTATAAATAAAAAGAAGTCATGTATGATACTAAATGGGGTGTTGGGTTGAGGGCAAAAAAAGTCATTTTGATACTCCGTATTATTTATGTGCCAAGTAAGGAAAGATGAACAAAGATATGGGATAGAGAAAGTATTACTATTTTTTGTTAGTTTACCATCTTTTGAGTTATTTTAGAATATAAAGAACTAAAGTTTGAGGGATGGATGATATAATTTATTTTTTAATTTATCTCTTATTCTCTATATAAACTATGGTTTAGTCTGGATTGAGCAATACAATATGCTCACGTATGAGATGAGAGCCAAGTCTATTATTAACCTTAAATATTCTCATCCAGCATCCAGTAATTTTCTCTTTGTGTTGACTTGACTTGTTTTTTTCATAAGGTGCTGATGATAATGATAATGTCACAAGTTTAGACGCTAAACATGTTTCATAACTAGGCACTAAGAGGGTCAAGGCTTTGTAAAGTTAGTTTTATAATGGTGTATATATGTATATATGATTATATGAACACAGGATTTGGCTGGATTTGCGACTAAGGAGCTGAATGCAGATGGAAAAGTTGTGGTTCCAGGATTTATTGATTCTCATGTGCACTTTATCTTTGGAGGACTTCAGGTTTTATATCAGTCCCTATGTTTTCCCTTTCATATATTTTTTGAAATGTGGTATTTCACTTACCATGCATCATGCATGTTTACATTGCCTTTGGCTTGCTTGCTGTTAGGCACTCTCTTTAGAGTTGTGAAATTGTTCACAATGCGTATCTTGATTGGACATTTGAACTGCATGTTTTTTTCTTGTTTTGAAAATGAAACTGGAATAGATGGCACGAGTGGAACTGCGCGGTGTTAACCGAAGAGAACTTTTTGTTAGCAAAGTTAAGGATGCATTAACAAGTAAATGTCCTTTTCACCCTTGCAGCTTATGGTTGTGTTTCTAAGATCAATATATTGATCTATTTTACTAGAGAATAAGTAGAGTTACTTTCAATTTATCGACTTCACTTTACTTGGCTACTTGCATTCTTTAATTACCTGCACTTCTTACAATGCAAAAGAAAACAAAGCAAAATAGAACATATGTGAAACGGCATATTAATTCAATAAGAATTATGTAGATTTATTGAACTCCTGATAATAAAATCTGAAAGAGGTTTTTATGAAGACTACACCTCATTATAACTTTACTGAAGTATTATACATACCTGCTTGTCTTTTTCCTTCCCCTTTTTTCTCTGGTCTCACTTGTAGATTTTGCCAGGTATAAAATCCGGATCTTGGGTATTGGGTGGTGGGTGGAACAATGATCTTTGGGGAGGAGATTTGCCAATGGCTTCTTGGATTGATGATATTACACCTCAGAATCCTGTAAGAAAATGCTTATAATAAACACAATGCATTCATTTGCATAGGAAGCCACATTAGGCACTCTTTTCATGCTTTTAGATCATACCTAGGTTTGGCTATCAAGGATGGATGGACATATGGGCTTGGCAAACTCCTTGGCACTAAAACTTGCTGGAATATCTCGTGACACACAGGATATAGACGGAGGAGCTATAATGAAAAACAGTGATGGAGGTGAACCCAATGTCTATTTTATTATCTTGTGCAGAAACACAGATAAATTTATGGCTGTACACTTAAATTAGCAAAATAGAGATGAAGCACTTCAATCACGCTTTTAAACTTCTTTTTGCTGTGAAGTTAGCAACCAAAGTTTAACTCTCTAAAAAACTAAGCAAGATTCTTGGTTAATTCGTGATCATCATGTGCAGAACCTACTGGTTTGTTGATAGATTCTGCAATGAAGCTTGTGTTTTCCTGCATCCCTGAACCTTCAGTACAAGAAAGGAGGAAAGCTTTTTTATCGGCAAGCAGCCTTGCGGTGATGAGGGGTGTGACAACAGTAGTCGATTTTGGGAGATACTTCCCTGGTTCATCTGCAGAACTCCCATGGGAGGATCTTTCAGGTTCATTCCAGATAAAACATTGCCAACATTACTGCAGTGGTTATTTGCATGGCAATAGTTTCTTCTTCTTTTGGCATCTATATTTTTTTATAGAATTTTAGTCACAAGGAACACTTTACACTTTTATTATACTCTAATACTCCCTCCGTCCCACTATTTTTGGGACATGGAGGAGTGGCACAAAATTAAGAAAAGTTAGTTTGTGTGGTTGATATTGATGTTAAAAAGAAATATAAAGTAAGAATGATGGTGAACCACAAAAATATGACTAAATATGGAATGGGACAAACAGAAAAGGTAAAATGGGACAAGAATAGCGAGACGGAGGGAGTAATTACTTTGTGAATGAAAATAACTCCAAAAGTAGTGAAACGTTAGAGGGAAAACACACACACACACACATTGAAATTATCATTGATCAAACATATGTGTACAGAACCTACAACAGTACTAAAATTAAGAATTCTGTCATTGAATGAAAAACCAATAATAATATTTTTTACTATCTACTTTTTTAATTCCTATTCAGAGAATGACACATCTGGTTGAATGTAAAGTTGCTAACCCCATCATTTGCACCCGAAATGCAGATGTGTACCAATGGGCTGATCTGTCAGGAAATATGGTGATCCGTGTTTGCTTATTCTTTCCATTGGAGACCTGGGCACGCTTGGAGGTATTTAGGAAGTAATATAGATTAGTCGAATAAAAAATTTACCAAATCATGGATAGATTTAAGTAGGTACTTTCTTTGTAACAGGTCACATGTGTTATTTGACTTATAGATCATGAATGCATGTGTACTTTGTACGGAGTACTTTTTTTTGTGTGTGCTGAAAATGAGGAGAGGGAGAACCTGAAGGAGTGAAGGCATTTGAGTCTTTACTTCAATCAGTTTGGATGAGAACGGAAGGGCACACAAAAATAATATATGTAGATAGAAATTATCTTATGTTTTCCTCCCTGTTTCTTCGAGCAGCAATATATGCATGTTTCTGCTCCATTCCTTTTGAATGGGAAACCTTAAACATATTGTTCTATACTCCGTATTTATTTATGTGGATAAGTTTTCTCACAAACAAAATCCCTATGTGTCAGGGTTTTGTAAAGAAGGTTGGCTGTAGCCTGAGCCAATGGATTCACTTGGGTGGTGTGAAGGCTTTTGCTGATGGATCTTTGGGATCTAACAGTGCATTGTTTTATGAGGTCAGATACTAAAATCAGTTGATTGCTCTGTTTTTCTCCAATGTCATCTCTCTTCCAAAAGCGCATCAATCAATGTATTATGAGACTTTGCTCTCTGCTGGTTTAAAAATGTCTTGCAAATATTTGGATCTATCTAAAATTGTGTTTATACATGGGAATGAAGAAGGGCTGTTTAGTACTTGTCATAGATTTAGTTAACTGCAATAAATTTCTCTGTTGTGGAATTGTGAAAATCGGGTAAGTTTCCACCAAGTGTGAAGACATGTACCAAAAATTAAACAAGGAAAATTTCCTAGGAGGTTTCTTAATATCCACCTACGACCCTTATCATCTCGCTGACAAAAATTTTCCTGAATAATTTAAAGAACATAGTATCACGGTATCACCTAACAAGAATAACTTGACAAATGGAATCAAACACAAATATGAAAGAGAACAAGATTTACGTTGGCAATTGGCCTACTTCACATGGTACTGAACTAACTCCACTATCCGCGTCTCCGTAGATGAAGGAGTTACAACTTGGGCTTGGGCATTATCCCACAAATGAGAGAAATTCTCTCAACCCAAATACCCACGAATAGGAGCCCAAATGTTCCTATGGAACATTCATCACACTCCAAAACCCAAATAAAGAAAGACACTTCAACTCACAACTTTCTCTCATTAATACTCTCAAGCTCTCTTGCTTTGCGACAGTCAAACTCAAACCTAATGGCTAAATTTATATGCAAATTATTAAGGATTTGGACAAACAAAATCAAATTTCCAACAAGAACACCTAAAACATATTCCATATTATTTTATTTGTGGTTGATTTGTTATTCCCTTTGGTTTCACATCTCCTTCCTCTTCTCCTGTTGCTTTTTTTTCCCTATCACTTTGGTTGAAATGAGCCACCACACATTTCCTGTGTCTTCAGCCATATGTTGATGAGCCTCACAACTATGGACTACAAGTACTGGATTTGGATCAGCTATATAACATGACACTTTCTTCAGATAAATCTGACCTTCAGGTGCTCTATCTTTGCTAGATTTTATTGCTGGTTCTTGTGTTACTTATGCACTATTGTCAGATAATATAATATATCTATCTACAATTCAGATTGCCATTCATGCTATAGGGGACAAAGCCAATGACCTAATCTTGGATATGTATGCTTCAGTGGCTTCTGAGAATCAAAGCAAGGATCGGCGGTTTAGGGTAATGCTTTCAAGCCCAAGAACTTTACCAGTCAATTTCTAGCTTTCTTTGTTGCCTCGATTTATGAGAAATAATATATATGTATGCACTCTTTTAATTGTCACTTTAGAGGGGGAAAAGAACCTCTAATAAATCTCTCTTTAGGATATTAAGAGAGCATTAATTGATCATTTTCCACCATCACCTTTCTACATCCATGAAACTACATTGTGCTAAAAATACTAATAGGGGTATTCTAGTCATACTATACCTTAATTTTAGGAAAAAAATAAATCATTGCTTTCTTAGTTTGTGTGCTAACGCCTAAAACAACATTCAAAGAACTTAAAAAGTAATTTTTTTACTAGCAACTGCAACTACTTGCAGATTGAACATGCTCAACATTTGGCCACTGGGAGTGTTGCACGGTTTGGTGAGCAAGCAATAGTTGCTTCAGTGCAGGTTCCCTCTTTGCCTTCATCATATGTGAAGTCATTTGTATTGTTTGTGATTCACCAAAGTTTCGATAAGAGGCTTATTTTTCTGGGTTTTTTCTCTTATAGTTGCCGGGTTGGGTTGTAAATGATTTTTGTGTAGAAAATAGGCACTTTATTGGAACTACTTAGCTCTTCAGGAAAAAAAAGTTACAGGAAACTTTGATCGATTGCAATATCAGAAATCCATCTTGAGTAGTGACTAATGCAACTATAACTGTCTTCTGTTAAATTTCTATAGCATATGCACTCTCATGTTTATGCTCAATATATTTATATAGTTGAATACCAATTAACAACAAACAGCCAGACCACTTATTGGACGACGCTGATTCTGCAATCAAGAAACTTGGGCTGAAGAGGGCAGAGGAAGGGTCCTATTTATTTAAGTCACTCCTCGCAAACAATGCACAATTAGCATTTGGGTCTGACTGGCCAGTATGTATGAATGCTACTATCAATACAAATTTGATATTTATATTTTCCCATGATTCCCCAGTCAAACTATTTCTAGTCTCTTTATCTTTGCTTTGGTTGTAGGTAGCTGATATTAATCCACTGAGAAGCATCAAGACCGCAATGGAAAGAGTACCTCCTCCAGGCCGCGAACAACAGAAGGAGGAGCCATGGATTCCATCTGAGCGCTTAAGTCTAAAGGAGGCACTCGATGCGTATGATGTTCATAAACCTACAAACAAACTCTTTTTTCTTTTTCTTTTCTTTTTCTTTCTTTGTCCTTGCTTTGTTGCCGGGAATGGAATTTAAGGTAAAACGATGAAAGTGAAACAACCTTGATAATGCAACTGGCAGGTACACAATCTCAGCCGCCCGGGCATGCTTCCTTGAGAAAGATGTAGGATCACTCTCTCCAGGAAAGTGGGCAGATTTTGTGGTTCTGTCTGCTGATTCTTGGGATTCCTCCTTTGCAAATGCTGAAGGTGTGGGATCTACAACAACCACAGTCCAAGCAACATATGTTGGTGGAACCCAGGTTTATCCCAAAGCTAATTATAATGAAATGGATCTTGAGAGAGTATGAAATAAACATATTGTGACATGTATGCAATTATGAATGCAGCCAGGGGTTGTAATTTTTGTGCTCAAACTAGAGACTGTGACCCCCAGAGTTGCTTATTTGAAGTGTACTGATTTAGTATTGTTAGAGTGTGTGCCCTACTCTAGAGGGGTGCATTGGGTTGCAAGAGCTCAATTTTCTCCCCAAAGTTTATCGAAATCTTAATGCTAAAAATAAAATGCATAAAAGTAAAGAGTGGAAACCATACATTTTTTGTGCCTAATATAGCTTCGAAGTAACTTGTTCGATATTTTCACTTATTTACCAAATTTGAGTGCATACTTGGAAAACCGTACAATTCAAGAATTTGATTTCACGAGTCTCAAACCTTTTTAGAGATGCTACCAAGCTTAAAGGGTGCTTGGAGAACCAATTTGGATTAACAAGTTTCACACACTTAGGGATACTTCACCTTAAGCAATCTATCCTTGATACACTACCCTTCTTTTCTTAAAACCCAAATGAAAAATACAACTACACTAAAAAAATCACTAACAAGAGCAATATATGACTGCAAAATGTACGAGTATTTTTGCAAAGGATCAATAGATAGCTAGTCGAAGTGGAGAAAACTTGTGTTTATATCTGAGAAGACCATAAAAATGTTGGGGATTAATAAGGTAAGAAAGCAATGGAAGAAAGTAGCTATTAAGAGGATGTGGCTCAAAATGTGATCATTTATGCCAGCGAATATTTTTACAATTGAGGGAGCAATTAGCAGAGCATATTATGAAATTTGGCAATAACAATTGATGGTTGTTGAAATATAATTGATAATCTACTTTGTTGTCGAGACAAATTTTTGGCAACTGAGAATGTTTCGAAAAATAAACATTATTCTGTCATTTCAAGTTGAAATTGGGTTCCCTAAAAATATATATATATACAGAAATTAGATGAAGAAAAATCAATGTATTCATAAAAGAGAGAACTTAGACTTTGATATTTTTTAAAATGTATTCCAAAAAAAAAAAAAATATTGTATCATTTTCAAAAGTGACCAACAAAAATATACTCACTCCGGTCTCATTAGATTCTTTACACTTTAATTTTTTGCAAAAATAAAGAGATAAACCATCCATTTTACCCTTTCTGTCACGGGTCATGTCATCCCCACTATCATATCCCCATTTTGACTCACCCGATCTTTACGAAGTATATTTTTATAACCAAAAGTACTAAGACTTCGTTTGGTATACGGAATTCAAATTATAGAATTAGAATTGAGGATAATAATTTCATTTTTGCTGTTTGGTAGCAAAAAAAAATGTGGATTTGGAATTGGTAGTGCCAAAAATGATTTGGAATTGGAAAATTTAATCATATCCAAATCAATTCCATAGAATTTCAACTTCCAATTCAATTCCAATTCCATCAATTCCGTGTACCAAATGAACCTTACAAGTTTTAACACCAAACGACAAAGTTTACATCCAAGAGAAAAACAAACACAACTAGTTAGATTAGCCAATGTGGTTACATCTCAGCTTATAGTTGGTTGAGTGGTTGACCAGAGTTCTCATTACTTGTACTTTTAGGGATAAAAAGCGAGAGTAAACAATATTCCCTTCCTTCCAATTTAAATTATTCATTTTAATTTACGATGTTTCAATGAAACTACTTTCAATTCAATTTGTTTAAAAAATCGGTGTAAAATTTAAAGATAAAAATTACGAAATATATATTTAAAAACTACATGAAACATTCTACAAAACAAAAGATGACATAACAATAAATATTTGATCAAAAGAGCAATCAAAATAAGTAAAGAAAATAATTAAAATTTAACCATATGATTAGCGAACGAACAACCTAAGTTAAGACAGAAAGAGTATTTAACTTTCTTTGAACATAGTAAAATGTTCTCTCTTAAGAATCCAACGGGAGGGAGGGAGTAATATTATAACACAAAAAAATAAAGTTTTTCCAAAAGAAATGCTCACAAGATATGACGGTTCCATTCCGTATTAGTTTTAGCATTTCTTCTGCGGTTTGAAATACAACTCAAAGATAACTCTCACCATTAATGTTCTCGTCTAACCAACACCAACATTTCTGCCCCCAAAGGAAAACATTCAAATTCCGACACTAGTTTTAAGAATCAAAAGCATCATGTTCTGCCAAACACCTCATTAGCCTTGAGAGAAATCCATGTTCACAAATTCATACAAAAAGTGCAGGTAAAAGACAGAGCCATAATTGAGAGAGAATCGGCTTTCGTTACACGAGGAGTGAAAGACCCTTTTTGTTTTCCAGAGGAGGGACGGCGGAGGGCTTGTTCCCGGGGAAAGCAGCTCGCGAGATGTCAACGAGAGCTTTGAAACTATAGGGTTCATGCATAGATATCTCAGACAGAACTTTTCTGTTCAGCTGCACATTTTCCTTCATCAGCCCATGCATAAAATTACCATAATTCACCTGCGAAGAGTACGCCGTAGAAGCGGAAAAAAAATGTGGTGTCAACATCTATCTCTTAATCAAGAAGCATCAGTAAATAATGCAATCTAATGCGGAGAAATTACCACCAATGATATGGAAATTGTTAAAAATACACTTTTAAAGTCAACGGAAAAGGCTTACGTTGGTGGAGGGAGCAGGGGAAATGGTACACCTAAGAAGAATTAGAAGGAGGTCATTTTATTGGACTAAGGACTTGCCCTTGGAAACAGCCTCTCAACTTTCGAGTAGGACAAGGTCTGCACACACACACCCTCCCCACACCCTACTTTCATGTGATCCAATTGGGTTGTTGTTGTACACTTTTGTCAACAGGCGAAAGGCGCACATAAACCACAACACCTATTGTTAATTCTATGCTCACACTTTGTTACAATATTTATGATAAAATGATAATCAGCTGAAACCCAAGTGAGGCAGCACTGAAGCAAACACGACGTGGCCGCCCCACAAATGAAAAGTGTAACAAGATTTAACAGAGAGGTAAGCATATACAAGAAGAGAACAAGGGGTGTAAAAAAGATAAATGGAGAGAATGCTTACACCATGCTGGCGGGTCCCAGCATTGATACGCTGGATCCAAAGAGAGCGCATGTCACGCTTCTTGTTGCGGCGGTCTCTATAAGAGTATTGAAGCGCCTTCTCCACCCTCTCCCTTGCAATTCTTATACAGTTCTTTGCCCTCCCTCTAAACCCCTTCGCTAGCTTCAACACCTCCTTCTTGTTCATCTCCTCTTTGCTTTTTTGCTCAACCTTGTAAGGTTATAAACTCTGAAAAGTGCTTAAATTTTTTAGATCCAAACTTGGGGGGAAACCAATTTTCAGAAATAAAATCACATAAATCCTATCTATTACTCCGTATATATGATGCAGCTTTTTGGGCCAATTTCACGCCAAATCCAAGTGCTACAATAAAATCATCTATGATTGTGAAGCATTAATTAATACTGGACCATGGCACCATGTGTGCAGTGCGCATAAAATTTATTCATAACCTTCACAATATAACACTTTTTTATAGTAACATTAATAATGATTGTGGAGCGTTATGCAAAAATGGTAAATGCTATGGTGAACCTTGGACCTAAGGTCCACATAATTTTGTGGACCTACACATGAGGGTGGTAAACAAATACTTTTAATACCCCAATGAGCTTTTATTTTTTGCAAAAAAATAAAAAAATAAAAACAATGCTTTTGATAAGAGGAGGTCCACAAAAAGTAGTGTGGACCTTAGGTCCACCAAAGAAGCACTCTGCAAAAATATATCCATGGCTTTCACAACATATTGGTGCAGTAACAAATCAAAGTGGGATGAGTGTGCTGAAAGTTTGTTCTTTGTCTGGTCTATTTTCTCTTTTTGATGTACCCTTGGACCATCCAACATAAACCAACTTTTTCCCAATAAATCCAAAAGTCTTTTAATCTTGTTTTTGAAATCAAAACAAAACCTCTCAGACCTTTTACCCGTTTCCAAAACTAGGGAGTAAAATAAAGACCTAGTCTTTGTTTTTATCTTTTAAAGTTTACCAGTCCACCCTAGTGTTCCATTTGCCTTTTCCTTCACATGGCCGAAACTCCTTTATCATTTTAAAACCAAAATAAAGCTTTTATCGTCTTAGAATAAGCCTGGCCAAAAATCAAAAGAAGAGAAGCCAAAACCATGTGTTTTCATCACATTTAATCATTAGAGTCAAGCTTAGATGTCTCCCTTCTTTTATCACCCTTTATGACCGGATTTTCTGCTCCATTTTAACACCAAAATGTTGACTTTATTTTAAGAAACCATTCATAGAAATCCCTTCACAAAATAATAGAGAAAACATCACAAAACATCTACTTTGACTTTTGTGTACTAATATTTTCTTACACCTTCATTTTCACCTTCATTTTAACCCGTAATATAAAGTCAACACCTATAAACGCTCCCTACACCTAAGCCACGAAATTCCAGCCCAAAATGGATTAAAAACATGTGGATAATTAACCTTGACTTATGAAGAACATGCTGAAAAATCAAACCCCCGCTAATAAAGGAAGCATGTCTCCGTCTTTTACGTTACCCAAGCATGTGAGAGACAAATCAACCATGTTTCTCCTGATTTTTATTCATCAACTAATGAGCTGAGCAGCCCCATGTTATTCCCTAGCTATGTGGCATGTACATGGGGGCTGATTTTCAACCCTTCTCTTTGTTGTCTTCATGTAATCAGTACCTAGAAATTACCCATGTATTTCCCCTATATAAACCCAGCCATTTGGCCGAATAAAAGATCAGATTTTAATGAACAAAAAAAATTGTGTTTACTCTTTGAGTAATTCTTAAGATACTGTGAAGCTATTTTGACCAAATTCCTAATTCCATATCTAAAGAGTGGTTCTCTTGAGTGTGAGTTTTAGGTTCTATATATTTAATTAGGTGTGATTCTTAATTAAATTCTAGACTTGACCCTAAGTGAGTTTTGAGTGTGTTATATCTCATATTCGAGCCTAGTTTATCCACTAATTTCCTAATGAAATATCTTATAAGTTGGCTACTTATAAGTGCGTGTTAGGAGTCTATATTTATGCATTAATAGTTGTTAATATTGTATAAGTTTATATAACAAGCCCCAAGTTAAGATAAGAGTGTGTATATGTCTTACACTGACCTGGATTTATCCCTTATTATTCCTCCATTTTCCACCTCCCCCATATTCTCTCCTAAATCACTTATTTTCTCTCATATAATAATACTCCGTAAAAAAGAACTCCTAAAACACTCCCATATTTCGCCCCATATTATTCTCCCTTCATTTCCTCCGCAAGTACGCAATTTTATTATCTACATGATAACACGCCCGGTTGAAGTACATCACTTTTCAATAAGACACAATTCTCGAAGAAAATGTACCTTGCAACTGAAATAATTTCCAAAGTCTATAAAATGCAAAAAGGTAGATAACGCATTAAATTCTAAAACTAACATTTAAATAAGTGAAATGGTGAAGTCCATGAGAATTTGGTGTAATTTGATGCTCTTAATCATATTTGTAACAGTGCAACACTGCAGTTAGTGAAGTCTGTGATAATTTGGTTTCTAAAACGATGTAAGAATCAAATTTCCATATCCTCCTTGAAATCAATAGAATGATTTGCCATTTAAATAAGTATCTAATCTAAGTACATACAAAAGCAGGCCAAAACTTGGATCATCCTACCGCCAAAATGAATGGTGTAAAGTAACCTAAAAAAATGAAATCTTGGGAGAATCTGCATTGAGGATGTAAACCTGCTATAGGATATGCTCATGCAGGCATTTGGTATATGGACAATATTATTTGATAATGAAATTGTGACCCAAGAGAAACATTGACGATGCAATGAGGAACCATGTAAGACTTTTTAATCAAATACACATTCACAGTTACAAAGCAAATTAGAGGGGAAAGAAGACAAATGAAATTCAAGGTTAAAGAGGCAAGTATGCTGCGGTAAAAAAAAAGACTAAACACTCTTTAAGAAGTTGTTTTAGAACTTAACCACGGGTAAAATTTAAACTTTATTGGGTTCTTCATAATGAAGATATTAGGATCAGAAATTGACTTTTTAAGTCAATTTACATACTTCCTAAGTTGGTCTTGAAATTCTAAGGAAAGCATTTGTACATCAAATGTTTTTCCTTTGAAAAAAATATATCAACACATTATGAAAAATTCTGAAATTTTCATATGATCCTGTGAACATAATTATCTATTTCCAAGCGTTGGAATCACTAGATTCTAATATTTGGTTGACGATAAATGAGGTCTTGAAATTTCATAAAATAAAATTTTCTTTTCTCATTTATTTTTAGATTGTGATTCATAAACACACATACACACACACCTCATGAAATGATGAATCCCGTTTTACCTTTTTGACCCAACACACTATCGGTTTTGGACCGGAAATTTGCCGGTCCTTCACCTCACACCTAATACTTTGATTTTATTTTTTACTTTGAAATTCATTTTAAATAAAACTTTAAACTAAATTTATTGAAAAATAACAAACTAACAAATAAAATCCATTTTTGAAGACCAAAACTTCTAAAAGGTCATTATCTATTTAAATAACTATAAATAAATTTAAAAAAAAGTATCAAAACATAAAAATATGTAGGCGTATTTTCAAAACGGAAGACATACGACAATGCTAATGAGAGAAAACTTGTATTTTGAAATGTAAAGATAAACGATGAAATGATATTTGTAATCTAGACGTTGAATTCTAATAGTTGAATGTTATTAAAATTAAGGGTCATAAAATGAACAAGAGTAGGTTTACTCTTGCTTAGGTGAAAAGGAAGAATAATAAATCAACATAGCACTTGTATAATTTAAACAAAAACTGGCAACAATGATAAGGACATATAGATCTTGTTTGGGAACAATGTTTTCGATTAGCGTTAGCATTTTGAATGAAATTTTAATGTTGTAAATTAATTCTGAAAATGCTAACGCTAAAAGCTACCGTCAGATAGCCTTTTCAAAACGTTAACGCTAACTTCTAATGTTGATGCCAAATAGGGCCACAGTCACTACGTTTCTTATCCAGATAAAGAAACAAAAAATATTTTTGGTTAGAGAAACGTTTGATATAAAAAGTTAAAGCAACAAAATGTCAAAATACCTTGAAATTTAAATTTAAATAATATGGAGTATTAAAAATCAACAAGTTGCATCCAATTAACACTTCACTAATTATATTAATAAAAAATAAATTACACCTTCATAGTGAAAAATTAACCTAATGGCAAATTCAAAGTTCACATATCCACAGATTACGAAATCATAATTGATACTAGGTAATTGTCTACAAAACAAATAAAGAGTATTTAGCTTGATAAAACAAATCCAACGAATAAAAATACTGAAATGGAGGGATGGAGGTTTTACCTTGATAAAATGGCGGCAAGCAGGCGGAGCAGTAGCGATTTACCTTTGGCGTTGGCGGCGGATCGGCTGCCTTTGGCGTTGGCGGCGGCGTTCGACTTTGGGCTATGGCGGAGTTTGGCCGTCCGTTTCTCTCTGACCCTACTCTGCCTGTGGTGGCGGAGTAACTGTTTTATGATTCCCTCTATTCTTTCTACTCCCTCCACTATTCCAACTTCACGAAAATTTATATTTATTTGTGTTTTTTCATGGCCTATATGATAAAATAAAATATTCTTGTCACCACTTGTTTTGTTGAACTTTTGGTGTAGTTTTTAAATATGTACGGAGTATTTTTTATTTCTATACCAATATTTAAATAAAATAGATTGAAAAAACTTGGGATTTTTTTTCGTTTTGCGAACCGAGAAGATCATTATAGGACGGAAGGAGTATTAAATGTTTCAGTTTAGGACCATGCTATACTTACACCAAAAAATATACCTCATTTGTACACCACAGGCTTGCACAAACATTTCAATGGTTTACACCGACACAAGTGTTGGTGCGTTAATAAATATTCACACGGACACAAATGTTGGTGCGTTTAACAAAAGTTAGTTTTACACCAACACAAAGTGTTGGTACAAAACTGTGGGGTACAAATTGGGGTACAAACCTTGGGGTACACATAGCATAATCCTTCAGTTTACGATGTTTGATTGAAATTATTTTCAAAGCATTTTATATAAAACTTGGTATAAAATTAAAAAACATACTCCCTCCGTCCTATAATGATCTTCCCGGTTCGCAAAACGAAGAAAAATCCCAAGTTTTTTCAATCTATTTTATTTAAATATTGGTATAGAAATAAAAAATAAAACATACATATTAAAAAACTACATCAAAAGTTCAACAAAACAAGTGGTGACAAGAATATTTTATTTTATCATATAGGCCATGAAAAAATACAAATAAATATAAATTTCCGTGAAGTTGGAATAGTGCTCTGGGAAGATCATTATAGGACGGAGGGAGTATTAAAATACTACATCAAAAGATTTACAAAACTAGAAGTGCATGTTTATTTTATTTTATCAAATGAGTACGGAAAAAAAGGGAAAAAAATGAATGAAGTTTGATCATGCAAGTAATAAACATGTAATTTAATTTGGGACGAAAAGCGTATTTAAGGTTTTCTCAAATTAATTTCATATTCCACTAGTTGTTAAAAGTTAAAACGACACAACAAACAAACATGCATTATAATTTTGCAAATCCGTGACACAATCTCTGAGAAAAGTATACTGTTATATTTTTAAAAACTTAATTTAAAAATTCAAACAAAACTAAAGTTGAAATTGAGAACTTATCTCAAATAATTCCCCTTTCATTTAATTGCGTAAAATAACGACCAATTCATTTCATTTTAACCTTTTGATTATTTTAACCAATCGCTACACTGATTTTTATTGCCAGCTTGATAGAATTTACCATCTTTGTTCTCAGAACAACCCCGTTTCTCACAACATGAGTTGTGGTTTCCAACGCTACGTCTGGAATGATTTAATAATTGCTCGTTGATGAGGTAGTGGCCGACGTGTTATGGTTGACTGTCAAGATTACCTCTCTTGGAGCACTAAACATCTATCTTATGCACAAAGGATTAGGCTAATTAATTCAGTACTAATGGGAGCCATTATTTTTTGGTCATTAATTTTACTATCCTCGCAATGGTAATGAAGTAGCTAAAAGGCTATATGTGGATACTGCTCTCTCCGGCTAACGATATTTGACTGAAGTTATTTTTAAATTATTTTATATAAAAAATGGTGTAGAATTAAAAAATAATACTTACATATTTAAAAAGTATATCAAAAGATTTAAAAAACTAATGATAACATTATTGACTAAAAAAAAAAAAGTGAATAAAATTTGATTTTGTAAATAGTAAACAAACAACTTAATTTGAGACGGATGGAGTAAAAGATAAGGATACCCCAACTTGGACCAACCAAGTATGGAATAAATATATTTTTCCTGAATACTTCTTCTGGCCTAGGAAAGTTCTCATGTTTAAAATATTACCTCACATTTTATATAAATTTAATTGAAAATAAACTCAATCAACCATTCCACAACCAGAAACTTTTTTTGACAAAAGGAGTATCATTTCATCTTCTGGCTCATCATGATAGAGAGAATGCATATACTAGAACAAGACTTTACAAGTACATGAACATGTCAGAAACAATTTATCATAAGAACATGCATTTCTCTCTATTTTTCATTATAAAACAAATTATTATCATTATTCATTATTCATTACATTCCATGTTTAAGTCTTAAAGACAAGTTCATCCATGGAAACTATTGGAACAAAATGGCTTCAGAGCTGTGATCTGTAGACATCAGTGCCAGAAAGTGCAGCAGCGATTGGGTGAAACCTGAGGCAAAAAGAGTATGGAACAGGAGGAAGAAGATACTGATCATGAACACAAGGTGACCAGCTATCATCCCCTCCTAATCCCATGTGCTTATGGTCCAGGTGCACCTGCAACAACATTTATTTTACCCTTTAACATCCTACTCAAAAGCCCAATAACGGTTGATTATGACTTTCTCAATACATCGATGAATGAATGAATGTGGACATGCTGTATGTCTACACTCATTCGTTTTTCAATGTATCAGGAAGGTCATAATCGACGGTTAATATGGAATGCAGGGAGTAATTAGTAAACAACGGTGTACCTCGACGAAGTCACTTTTAACAAGATCCTCGTGGCGTGTGGCACGGTCAAGTTCTGCAGTGGTATAGTAACTAGCATTCATCTGCATTGGAGGAGAGCCTCCATAAACAGAAGCATAGATCCCAACGCCGCCCTTGCTTTTAAAGGTTACCCATCTCACATCTGCCCTGCCCGAGCATTCCCCGGGAACAATATAAGGCACGTGCATATCCCCGACATTTTGTTCGTAAATCCCCACCCGGGCAGCAGATTTACGGTCCGGATAGCATTCGAATGGCCCTCTACCAAACCAGGTAATCTGGTCCAAGGACTTCTCCAGTTGGAACTCAACCCCAACACGCGGGAGAGGGGGAAGATCACTCTTTGGCTCTACACTGCATTCCAGGATAACATCTCCAGAACCATATATTGAGTAAATCATGTGAACCCGGAACAAACAACATGACGCTGCAGATATAATAGCATTTGGATCACCACTGGATGGAATCCCAATGTATGTAATTCGAATTTTCGCCACACTCCCAGTTTCGCTTTCAACCAAGAAGTTCTCAACTTGAAATTGCAGACTGTGAAGATTTGCTGCCTTCCACCTCGCTAAATAACTGTTTTGCTCTCCCCCTTTGTCATTATCGGTAGGCGCTCTCCAAAAGCATGGAATCATTCCACTATGCATAACCGAAATACCCTCAACCTGCCAACGTAAACACATGTCAAAACTCAAAATATATGACTTCCACCTGAATTAAAAAGATTCCCGTTTGAAAGCCTATAATGCATTTTAAAAAAAAAAATTGTCCAAAAAAGTTCAATGTAGGACCCTCTACAAAAGAAAGCTACCTTCCAGCACTCAATTGCACCCGATTTTTTGTTAAAGGTAATCTCCCACGAGCCATCATCGCCAAGCTTTATCGTTTCCTCAAGGTTGTGAACAGATAGACTAGACTCCATGCTTTTAATTGTCTGTAATAATAATCCCGGTAAATTCTATTTCTTAAAAAAGTAACAAGGGAAATTATTAAACTTGAAAGGGCCACACTCACATGAGGAAGGGGTTCAAGTTTGGCAGGTAAAAGGATTTGTGTCGAAGAAATGAGGTGACCGGAATCAGCCCACCGAGTAGAGTGCAGTATCTTTGCAGTAATTGTCAAGAAAACCTCTGAAGCTCTGGATGAAGACCAAAGTGAATACCACGGTCCGTTCTCCCATTGGATTCTATGGGTACCCTGAGGCACAATGGGAGGAACATCAAGAGTACCTGAACCTAGCTCACACCCGTCTCCGTGAAGTAACCATTCAAACTCCAAGTCTTTTGTGGTAATAAAAAAATTGCCATTTTGAATCTGGACAGCAACCAAGTAGAAATCATAACCACATTCAAATCCGGTAAAAAAAATTCAAGTGATGCAAAAGTGAAATTCTTACCTCAAAAATTCCATCGTTATCAGATACGACCTTTATTTGCCGGTAGACAAACTTAACCTCTGAAAAACATCAATTGCAACAATCTTCAGTTTAAAACGTTTCATGACAGAATATATTGGGTTTCAAATTGCACTCTCAAGGTAAGAGAGTGCACATAGCAAGACTCAAATATTATGAAGATCAAATGATAACAAGAAAATGAAAAAAAATTAGGAAAAAATATCACCTTGGAGCGCGGGGTGAGGACTTCGGTCTGGAAATACAACACCATTCAAGCAAAAGTTCAAATCATTAGGTATGTCCCCAAAATCCCCTCCATATGCCCAGTGCTTACTACCATTAGAGCCTTCCTTCAACATTGCCTGGTACGGAGTTGAAATACACATTAATTCGCCATTAAATACTTCAGTGTCCCAAGAATATCAAAGATTTAGAAAAGTGAAGACATGTTACGAATCCTTGAAAAATAAATATATTCCCTTATTTAAGTTTAACACTACATGGAGTTTATTTTTTTTCAAGGTACATAAGCAATTAAAGTAGGAAGACTTCACATGGAAAATTCTTGAAGATTAGTACTGGAAAACATGAATTAAATCTATAACCACAATTATTTTGAGACAGATGGCTTACCTTAAACCATACACTCCCTCCATCAAACTTTATTCCTTTTTAGGAAACACCTTTTCACATTTTAACACTTTTTTAATCTTTGCAGAGCCAAACCATCATTTTTTAGGGATGAAGGATGTATATTTTGGGATGGCAGCAGTACCAAAAATACTACTACCTCCGTCACTTAAAGAATCTTCAATCACTTCTTCATGTAATTGGTCAAAAAAAGTCACTTGTAAGTTATGCATTGTACGATTAGTTAAACCAACAAAA